GTGGGGGGACGAGGCGGCAGGTGGCGGGCATTCTGGTTTAGTGGGTTAAGCCACCACCTGGGGCGCCAACATCCCACATTGGTGCTGGCTCGAGACCTAGCTGCTCCACTTCCAATCTAGCTCCCTGCTAATGCGCCTGGGAAAGCAGTGGAAGATGGCCCAACTGCTTCAGCCCCTGCACCCAGGTGGGAGACCCAGAAGTTCCTGGCTCCTGCTTGGCAGAGTCCTGACCGTTGCAGCCATTTAAGAAGTGAACCAGCAGATGGGAGTTTTTTTTTGTTTTGTTTTGTTTTGTTTTGTTTTGGACAGGCAGTGTTAGACAGTGAGAGAGAGAGACAGAGAGAAAGGTCTTCCTTTTTCCATTGGTTCACCCTCCACATAGCTGCCACGGCCGGCACGCTGTGCCGATCCGAAGCCGGGAGCCAGGTGCTTCCTCCTGGTCTCCCATGGGGTGCAGGACCCAAACACTTGGGCCATCCTCCACTGCACTCCCGGGCCACAGCAGAGAGCTGGACTGGAAGAGGAGCAACCTGGACAGAATCCGGCGCCCCAACCGGGACTAGAACCCAGAGTGCCGGCGCCACAGGTGGAGGATTAGCCTAGTGAGCCGTGGCGCCGGCCGGGAGTTTTTTTTGTCTCTCCCTCTTTTTGTAATTCTGCCTCTCTGCCTGTTTATATGAGAGGCAGAGTTACAGACAGAGAGGGAGAAACAGAGAGATCTTCCGTTTGCTGGTTCACTCTCCGAACGGCCCCAACAGCTGGAGCTCAGCTAATCTAAAGCCAGGAGCTTCTTCCAGGCTTCCTATGTGGGTGCAGGGACCCAAGCACTTGGGTCATCTACTGCTTTCCCAGGCAATTAGCAGGGAACTGGATCAGAAGTGAAGCAGCTGAGAATTGAACTGCTGCCCATATGGGATACTAGCACCTCAGGTGGAGGCTTAACCTACTATGCCACAGCACTAGCCCTAAAAGTAAATCTTAAAATAAATAAATAAATAAATAAAGGTCTAGAACAAACCCCTGGTCCTTTACCATGGGTAGTTTTAGAAACTCTGCTTGGGGTCCACCTGAAACACCCCTTCCTCAGGGGGGCTGCTCCCCAGATCCCCCACCCTGGGGTGGGGGGTTCCCCAGGGCGGAAGACTGCAGTTGGAGCATTTGGCCCCCTGATGAAGGGCTCAAGGCTGCCACACGGGAGCAAACTGAACTGAATTTCTTTCCTCTCTTTCTCCATCTCCTGTCTCCTCCTTGGGCCTTGCCTGTGTTCTCTCCCCGTTGCTTTTCATTCCTCTTCTCTCTGTCTTCCCTGCTGTTCCCTCACCCTCTGCTTTCCCTCCCCACCCCTGCCCCCTCTCCCCGGACCGCTGGCCTCCCCTCTGCAGTGGTTCTCCCCACTGAGCTGTCACCAGCTGCTGGGCCCTGGTCTGCTGCGGCTGGGCCGCCTGTGGCTGCGCTCCCCCTCCCACACAGCCTTGGCCCCCGGCCTCTGGCTGTCGGCATTCGGCCTCCTTCGTGGTGATCACCTCTTCCTGTGTCCAGCTCCGGGCCCCGGCCCCCCGGCCCCAGAGGACATGGTGCATCTCCGGCGGCTGCAGGAGATCAGTGAGCAGGGGTGGGGACAGGGATGAGGGTGGGCGCGGAGGTGGGCAGGAGGGTCCCTATGGGAAACTGCAGAATATAGTAGCTTCAGGTACGAGCTCCCAAGTCACACTCTCCAGATTGAGACTCTACACTGTATCACCTAGCTGTGTGCCCTCTCTATGCCTTAGTTTTCTCATCTTTAAAGTGGGCACAATAATAAGACATTGCTCAGAGGGGTTTAGTGAGGTTCAGATAAGGTCAAGCATGTAAAATACTCATCACAGGGCCTAGCGGGAGGCAGCTTGTTAGTCCTCAGTAAATGCTTTGCCTTATGAATGTTACCGTTACCAGTTTTCTTCGGTGCCACTTGCTGGTTGGGAAAGGTGATTGAGTACTGTCACTGCTGTCCTTTGTCCTGAAAGAGGAAGGAAGTGGGATAACACTGTAGCACTTTGGGGACAAGTGCCCTGGGTTGGAGCTCCACTTTGTCACCTGAGGCAAGGTGACATCCGTACATTGGGTGCAGGTTACGAGGCGTTGTTGGGAAGGCATACCTTAGGCATGGAGCAAGAGTAGTCACTGTGATGAAAATGATGACAATGTCCAATAATTCTCCCAGGTGTAGTCCCTGCAGCTGACACCCCAGACAAGAAGGAGCATTTGGTCCTAGTGGAGACAGGAAGGTAAATGTTTTGCACACCTACCCTGACCCTGGCCCTCCTTTCTGGAGCCCACCACAGCCCACTTCCCCAAAGCTGCTTCCCCAGTTCAGGGACCGTCTGGGAAGAGTGTTGCTGCCCCCTGCTGGTGTCTCTGTAAAGTCACGTTCCTGTGCTCCTGGGCCTCCTTCCCAAGACCCCCTGGAGCTGGCTCTGACTCGGACTCTTGGGTCTCAGGACCCTGTACCTGCAGGGAGAGGGCCGCCTGGACTTTGCAGCATGGAACACAGCCATTGGGGGAGCAGCCGGTGGGGGCGGCACAGGGCTGCAGGAGCAGCAGATGAGCCGGGGGGACATCCCCATCATTGTGGACGCCTGCATCAGTTTTGTCACCCAGCATGGTGAGTGTGCACCGGCTGGAAGGGTGGGGGTGGAGATTGTGGGTGCCACCAGGTGAGGGGTTCAATCACTTGGAAGAGCTTAGCTTCCAGAGACTGCAGCCTGATACCACCAGCTGGCAGTGTGGCTCTCGGCAAGTGGACTTAATCTTCGGAGCCTCAGTTGGCTCATCTGTGAAGTGGGGCTTAGGGTCCTCATTTTCCAGGGTAGTTGTGACTGTGATCTAGTGCATGTCATTGCCTTGAGCACAAGGCATGGCAGGTAGACAGCACCGCTGGGGCATCAGCAGGGAGGGAGAGTGCAGCACAGCAAGTAGGACTGAGCGTGTAGAGTTGTGCAAACAGGAGGGGCCGTGCAGCACATCCCAGAAGGCCAGGGATGGTTTACTCCTGTGAGATTTTCCAAGTGCCATGTGCAGGGTCAGCTATGCAGGTGGTCCCCAGAATTCTTTGTGAGGTTCTGGCCTCTGTTCTCCAACCAAAATAAAGACCAATAGAACCTCTCTTCTGTGCAAACCCTCTTTCAAAGGGTGGACTCCTGAGAAGGGAAATTTACAAGAAACCACTGGGGACGGTCAAGGCAGGGAAGGCACCCCCATGAATCCATGAATAGGTGTGCTCACTGGTGGACAGCGGCAGCTTCTGATGCTCTCCATGCCCTGGTGGTGGCTGCATCCCGTGGCTGGGCCCACACCAGACCTCTCTCTTCTCGGTTGTCTTCATGTTCAAAGGGGCCCAGTGAGGAGCCCTGGAGACAGAGCGTGGGGGTCACAGCCTGCCCTCCAGGCACCATGCGCCACCGCTGTTCGTCCAGCAGATAACTTGTCGAGCTGCTGCTGTGAGCCAGATGCCAGGCAGACGGCTGGGAACAGGGAAGGTCCGACGAAGCTCCGAGCCTGGTGGGAGAGACAAATCCCTGTCCGTTCTTGGGACGTGCGGGTGTTGTGCTCTATCTTAAAGTCGCAGCAGACACTCAGTGAATTCTGAGTCACTGCTCTGGGGGTAACGACAGGCTTAGTTTTCTCCCGTGAGCCTCTGGTTACATTTTCGTGAACGGAGCAATACCCAGTAGGCTTGCGTTATGTGTTTTCTGTATTAAGACAGCTTATTTCATATAGATTGTTGATCATTAGCACTGAACTCCAGGCTGGTGTCACTGTAACTCATGCGCGAACCAAACTTGTTTGACATACGTATTTGCTCTGCAAGGCACATCACGGTTTCCTCATGGTCAGGAATACTAGGCGACAATTCAGCACTACACTTGGGGGCTGTTTCAAACAGTGGAATCAGCAAGGAGCACAAAAATCCTAGAAATGTACCTGTAAATGTACCAGGAAAAAGACACTTGTTCACAGGGTGAGATCTTAGCGGGAAGCATGCATGGAGGTGGCCGGCTGGGTGGAACTAGGGAGGGGTAGGGGTGCGAGTGCAGGGAGAAGGGAGATCAAACTCTTTCCCACTCTCTGTGAGCTTGGGCTTGCAAATGACTGTGAAAGTGTCAGAAGTACAGTTGGCCCTCTGTCCTCAGATTCTGCATCTATGTATTCAGCCAGTCTCCAAAAATATTTGAGTAAGAAGAAGTATCTATATTTTAAAATTTAATTTTATTTGAAAAAGAGATCAATCTTCCATCCAGTGGTTCACTTCCCAAATACCTGCAATGACTGGGGCTGGGCCACACTGAAATCAGGAGTGTGAAACTCAACCAGGTTCCTTGCATGGTGACAGGGACCCAAGTACTTGGGCTGGCATCTGCTGCCTCCCAGTGCATTAACAGGAAGCTGAATCAGAAGCAGAGGAGCCAGGGCTTGAACCCAGGCACTAGCAACTAAACCACAATGCCAAAAGTTTGCCCTGTGCAGACTTTTACTTCTTGTCATTGTTCTATAAGCAATTTAGTATCACAACAATGTACGTACCATTTGTGTTGTATTAGACTTTTTTTTTTTTTTGACAGGCAGAGTGGACAGTGAGAGAGAGAGACAGAAAAAAAGGTCTTCCTTTGCCGTTGGTTCACCCTCCAATGGCCGCCGCAGCAGGTGCACTGCGGCCGGCGCACCGCGCTGATCCGATGGCAGGAGCCAGGTGCTTTTCCTGGTCTCCCATGGGGTGCAGGGCCCAACCACTTGGGCCATCCTCCACTGCACTCCCTGGCCACAGCAGGGAAGAGGGGCAACCGGGACAGAATCCGGTGCCCCGACCAGGACTAGAACCCGGTGTGCTGGTGCCGCAAGGCGGAGGATTAGCCTACTGAGCCACGGTGCCGGCCAATGTTGTATTAGACTTTATAAATAATCTAGAAATGATTAAGAGTATACAGAAGCATATGTATAGGTTATATGAAAATACTATACCAGTGTATTCTATTTAAAGATTATTTATTTATTTGAGAGGCAGAGTTACAGAGAGAAAAGGAGAGACAGAAATGAAGACCTTCCATCCACTGGCTCATTTTTCAAATGGCTGCGATGGCCGGAGCTGGGCCGATCAGGAGCCAGGAGCTTCTTGTGGGTCTCCCACGAGGTGCAGGGGCCCAAAGATTTAGGTCATCTTCCATTGCTTTCCCACACAGTAGGAGAGAGCTGGAATGGAAGAGGAGCAGCAAAGACATGAACCGGCACCCATATGAGATGCAGACATCACAGGCAGAGGCTTAACTTACTATGCCACAGCACCCGCCCCATATACCTTTTTTTTTTTAGCTTTATTTTATTTATTTGAGATGTAGAGTTACAGACAGTGAGAGGGAGAGACAGAGAGAAAGGTCTTCCTTCCGTTGGTTCACTCCCCAAATGGCTGCAATGCCAGAGCTGTGCCGATCCGAAGCCAGGAGCTTCTTCTGGGTCTCCCACATGGGTGCAGGGGCCCAAGCCTTAGGCCATCTTCTGCTGCTTTCCCAAGCCACAGCAGAGCTGGATTGGAAGATGAGCAGCCAGGACTAGAACTGGTGCTCATATGGGATACCAGTGCCGCAGGTGGAGGATTAACCCACTGTGCCATAGCACCAGCCCCCGCCATGTACCATTTTCTATAATGGTTTTGAGTGTGCACAGATTTTGGTACCTGCGCAGGCAGGGGTGTGTCCCGGATAGATACTGAGGGACAACCTACTGACCTGGGGGTGGGGGGGATTACCGCTGAATTTTAGTGAGTTGGGCAAATGCTCAAATCCGGACTCCGCAGATGTGAGGCTCAACACTATTGTGATTTCAGAGCGTACGTGCCCGGGATGCTGTGTGTGGGGCAAGGTCGGGAAGGGCTTTCTGGGAATGAGGACTACAGCAGGGACTGTGGAGGGGCAGATTTATCATGCCACACAGGGGCCTGCAGAAGGGCTGCTGGGCGGCTGGTGGCTTGCGTCTGCGCAGTGGCGAGCCGACAGGGCTGGCTGTTTGCAGGGCTCCGGCTGGAGGGTGTGTACCGGAAAGGGGGCGCCCGCGCCCGCAGTCTGCGACTCCTGGCTGAGTTCCGCAGGGACGCCCGGTCCGTGAAGCTCCGCCCAGGGGAGCACTTCGTGGAGGACGTCACTGACACACTCAAACGCTTCTTTCGAGAGCTCGATGACCCTGTGACCTGCGCACGGTTGCTGCCTCGCTGGAGGGAGGCTGCGGGTACTCCACATCCCTGCGAACCAGGGCCGGCCACGATCTCCAACCCCATGCCCAGAATCCTGGAGGCTGTCTTGCGGGGTTGGGTAGCCCCCATCCCCAGTGTCTGCCCACCCTGAGGGGGACCCTCGAGAGACTTGGGCCAGGGGGAGGTGGGAGGGGGACAGAGGCACATCAGTCCTGGGGTTGTTTCTCTAAAACCCTTTCCCTCCACTCCTGGATCCTCTCCAACCTGCCTCCATTCCATCCCCAGAGCTGCCCCAGAAGAATCAGCGCCTGGAGAAATACAGAGAAGTGATCGGCTGCCTGCCGCGGGTCAACCGCCGGACACTGGCTGCCCTCATTGGGCATCTCTATCGGTCAGCATGGCCAGACCCCTGCACTCCCTCCCTGACCTCTCGTCGCCCCCAGCTGACCCCGCGCCCTCCCCTCCCCTTCCTTGCTGCATTGGTGGTTATGTGAAAATGTCCTTGCATGAGGGTTTGGAGGATGGATTCAGGGCCCAGCTACAGCCTGGCTCCTTCCCAGCCGTGTGACTTGGGACATGTCACTTTCCTCTCTGGGCTCCTTTTTCCCCCTTTCTGAAAGGCAGGTGATGTCACGAGTAGTATCCACCACATAGATGGTGATAATTCAGTGAGATGATTCTCATAAAATTCTCCGCACCTGGCATGTCGTAAACCTTCAAAAAGTGTTAGCCACCAAGAGTCTTTTGCTTTATTATTCTGTGTCAGGGAGAGGCTTAGCAGTTAGACGTGCAAGGGTGAATAAGATGGAGATATACCCTTGCCAGCCTTTTGGGGGTACATGCCTTGGGAGTGGTTCTGGGATAAAACCCTGGCTGGGTTGTTCAGATGACACCACGTTACAGAGATAGACCAAGTATATGACCAAATCCAGCCCATTTCCTGTTGTTGTAAATGAAAGTTTTATACATAAAGGATAAAGCCGTGCCCATCCACTTAGATACTTTCTGGAGCCCTTTTGTGCTACCACGGGACGTTAGGCAGAGACTGTATGGCCTGCGAGCCTAGAATATTCTCTGTCTCTTTATGTAAGAAGCCTCTGGCCCCTGCCGTATTTGTAATCACCCTGCCTCAGTCTGCCCACTGGCCTGTGAGCTCCTTGAAGCCAGTGTGTGTCTTACTGCTACATCCCACGCCCTTAGCCCAGGACCCGGCAAACAGCAGGGGCTGAGTGAACGTATGTGTGGAAAAGGGGTGTACCAGCTGCATTCTCGTGACCCTCATGCCCCCTGCAGGGTGCAGAAGTGTGCGGCTCTAAACCAGATGTGCACCCGGAACCTGGCCCTGCTGTTTGCACCCAGCGTGTTCCAGACGGACGGGCGGGGGGAGCACGAGGTGCGGGTGCTACAGGAGCTCATCGATGGCTACGTCTGCGTCTTTGATGTGAGTCCTTCCTAATCCCTGACCTGACCTCTTCCCTACCCCTGCAGGATCCAGAGTCCACCCCCAACAAGCACCCCCTACCCCGCCCCAAGCCTCAGGTGACCTTCCACATCAGTAACCACCTCCCGGAACCCTGGGCCTCTTTCTCCCACAACTGTATTGCCAACACCCTTGTCCCATTGGTTCTTAGCTCTTCAGGCCTCCAGCCCTCTTACCCAGGTGCCCTTGGCCTTGAGATCTGCCCTGCTTGTCTCCTTTCACAGATCGATGCTGACCAGGTAGCTCAGATTGAGTTGGAAGTCAATCTTATCACCACCTGGAAGGATGTGCAGGTAACTTACCCTGACCTTAGACTGCTGATTGGGGCAGTAAAGGGGACTTTGAGATGGGAAGCTGACCTGCCCAGCTGGGGAAGTTCCTTTTCAGCCCAGACTTCCTTCTGCACGCTGGCCCGCAGCTCTCTGGGGGACAGGGGAAACCCCAGGAGGAAATTGTTGGGGAGTGAGTTTGGTTAGCGTTTGCTCCCTTCATTCCTCTGTGGAGTTTCTTCATTATAAGATGGTACGCCAGGAGCAGCACTGCACTTCTAAGTGTAAGCTATCCAAGAAGGAGTGAGCACATCAGCAAAGCCACGAGGATAGGAATCAATACAATGCAAATGTTAGCCGAGGGCTTGCTGTATTCCAGGCACCTCTAATCCCATTTTTAGTGTCACACAACTCCATGTATTATGTAGTCCCCCCCCCCCCTTTTTTTTTTTCAAAAAAAGAAGCTGAGTCGGAGGGTCACTCACTCAAGGTGGCGCTGTCTGGAGCGTCAGGGTTGGTAGCCAGGCTGTCTGATGGCAGACCTGTCCTAGCCACGGCACTGCTTTGTCTTGCAAAGCACTGTACCCAGCCTACAGATGCAGTTCCACCTGTAAAAGTGAAACAAAAACACAGAGAGCAGTCTCAGATGAAGGAACTTTTATTTGAGAATGAACGAAGAATGGGGTTGCCATGTAGGACATACATGCACAGGGTGGCCTCTGGCGTGTCTGGAGAACAAAGAGAAGGTTGGGGGTTTAATCAGGACAGAGACATCTATGCAAGTTATTTCCAAAAAAAGGTCATTGGCACTGTCGGTGCTTACAGGAGCTGGCAAACTCTGGTTTATGTAGTTACTGTGGAAAGCTATTTTGAGGTCATGGTTGGCAGATCGATCTTCAGTTGAAAAGTCAACAATAAGGCAGGCTGTCTGGTTGGGTTGGTTTGGTACTTCCTGGAGTAGGCGTCCATGGCCTGAGTGTTTCCCCTTTCAGTGGAGTGTGACTAGAATTGGCTCCATTTTGCATAACAAATTTTCACACTACTCCTGGAGTTTTCCCTTTCAAGGGCCTGGGTGATGTTGGTGGCAGTGGCGGGGAGGCAGTGAGGGTTGGGAGACCTTTTGTGTCCTCCTGACTTCTTCACCCCTCCCACAGCTGTCCCAGGCTGGAGACCTCATCATGGAGGTCTACCTAGAGCAGCAGCTCCCGGACAACTGTGTCACCCTGAAGGTCAGTGCTGAGGGGGCTGGAGGGTGACGGGACTGTGGTGGGGGCAGGGCCAGTGGCCTGACCAGCAGGGGTTCTCTGCTCTTGCCCTGACCCCAGGTGTCCCCAACACTGACTGCCGAGGAGCTGACTAACCAGGTACTGGAGATGCGGGGGACAGCAGCTGGCACAGACCTATGGGTGACGTTTGAGATTCTCGAGCACGGAGAGCTTGGTGAGTATGACCGTGTTACACGCATGTGTGTGCATGTGTGCTCGGGGGTCGTGTGGTTAAGGTCTTCACTGGCTTCGTGGCCACCACATGTAACGGACATTGTGTTCTTCTGGTCATCCACGCGAGGGGACATTCAACGCGACACTCCTCCCTCAGCTTTAGCGAGCCCCCAAGCGCTGGGTCTCCCTGCTCCCCCAGAGGAGATGCCTCCTCTTCTTTTGCTCGATTCTGACCCAGGGTACAATTCTGGGCTGCTTTCCCTTCTCTGTCTACATTTTCCTTGGTTCAACTCTTCCATCCTCATGGTGTTAGTGCCACTAATATGCTGAGACTCAAGTTGTATCCTGGCCCAGACCTCTCGTTTAACCTCAGGACTTACATATCTAATGCCTCCTTGATACTACCACTTCTCAAGGCATCTCAAATTTAAAACATCTCAGACCAAATTCAATTCCTAGCCCTCTCCCCTAACAAAAAGTGCAAGTCACTTTCCTTCCCAGCTCAGTCCCTGGCACCACTCACCCGGTTGTCAAGGATGGAAACTTCTGGATGCCTTCTTTTCCTTTATCTGTATAACCAACCCAGCAACTAGTCCTGCTGATTCCGTTAGAATCTCACTTCTCGTACACCTCTACCACTGGCGCCACCCTGGTCCAAGTCACCATTATTATTATTCTGCTTCCCAACATCACCTACTCCGATGTATGGCCCTGGAAGGAAGAGTTGGGTAGCATTCCGTTCTTGCCTCCCCACAACCCAGTGTGCACACAGCAGCCAAATGAACAGTGCAGGCCTAAATCAGAGCGTTCATTCCCATGGCCCAGACCCCCCGACGGCTTCCCACTCAACTTCAGATTCTTTATTACAGCTCGGAAGACCCTGAGCTAATTTTTCAGACCTCATCGCACATCACTGGTTCCCTCATCTGTCTTCTTTGCTGTAGCCACATTGGCAGTTGAGTTCCCCAAATACATCTTTCCTGATTCAGGGCCTTTGTTCTCATATTTCTACCCGCTGATCTTAGCGTGGCTTCCTCTCCCTGATCTGTCAGAGCTTGGAATTTCATCCTTCGGATGCTGCTTCCCAAAGGCCGTGGGGAGGTGATGACCTCCCTTGCTGAAGACCCTCTCTCAGCCACTGCCCTCTGCTCTCAGCTTCTTGTTTCTTCCAGAGCAGCTGTTGGTCTGCAGCGCTTCTGTTTGCACACCTGTTCGTGGTGTGCTCCTTCAGCCAGCTGTGGGCTCTGTGAAGGCAGGCCAGGTGTATCACCCTCACTGTGGATCCCAGCGCCAGCACAGTGCTAAAACAAACATGTGTGGCTGCATGGTTAAATGGATGAATGAATGAATGAATGAATGACTACTGGGACGTGACTCGAGGGCTATGATGATTGGTCCCCACCTTGCCCCTCCAGAGCGGCCACTGCACCCCAAGGAGAAGGTCCTGGAGCAGGCCCTACAGTGGTGCCAGCTCCCGGAGCCCTGCTCAGCCTCCCTGCTTTTGAGAAAAGTCTCCTTGGCCCGGGCCAGCTGCCTTTTCACAGGTGAGCCTCCTTCCCTGACCCAGCATCCTCCAGGCCTGCCTCCCACGCCTTTCCACCCAGCGCCACTTATCTGCACCCAGGTATCCGGCGTGAGAGTCCACGCGTGGGGCTGCTGCGGTGTCGTGAGGAGCCGCCCCGCTTGCTGGGAAGCCGCTTCCAGGAGAGGTTCTTCCTGCTACGTGGCCGCTGCCTGCTGCTGCTCAAGGAGAAAAAGGCGAGGCCCCAGGGCCAGAGAGGAGGGGCATGATGGCACCTGCCCTCTGTTCCAACCCCTGTGCTCTCACCAGCCCTGCTGCTTCTCTGACCTTGACCTTTCTGTCTCTCCATACTCCAACCTTCTCATGACTTCTTGACCTCATTAGCCACCTCACTGACTCCATTCGTGTTCTCAGAGCTCTAAACCAGAACGGGAGTGGCCTCTGGAAGGTGCCAAGGTCTACCTGGGAATCCGCAAGAAGTTAAAGCCCCCCACGCCGTGAGTGTTCCTCCCCAGGCCACACTTCCGGGCCTTCCTGCCACCATCCCTCCGTCCGGCATTTCCGGTCACTGCATCACTGGTCTTTGCCTTCCAGATGGGGCTTTACGTTGATACTGGAGAAGCTGCACCTGTGAGTATCTCTCCGCTAGGCTTCTCTGGCCCAGCCCTGCACATGAACCCCACCCCTCCCCTTCCCTCTGCCCTGACAGCCAGGACTCCTCTCCCCATCCGTCCCTCTCTGTCATCTGCAGCTACCTGTCCTGCACTGATGAGGATGAGATGTGGGATTGGGCCACCAGCATCCTTAAAGCGCAGGTGAGGGAAAGGAAAAGACTGGGGGCTGGGTCTGTGGTCTCCCTGGGACCCGTTTATACCCCTCCGTGCCTTCCAACTGCTCGTCCTCTCGCCAGCACGATGACCAGCAGCCAGTGGTCTTACGTCGCCATTCCTCCTCTGACCTTGCCCGTCAGAAGTTTGGGACTATGCCTTTGCTGCCCATCCGTGGCGATGACAGTGGAGCCACCCTCCTCTCTGCCAATCAGACCCTGGTGAGACCTCGAGGCCTGCGCCAGGCCCCGCCTTTCCTCTTGGCACGCTGCAGGAGGCAGTGCTGTGCTTGCCAGCCTGGCACCCCCTCTGCTCACGGTGCCCCTCCCCTCCAGCTCCTCTGTGGCCCCAGTCCCCACCCCACCCCCCACCAGTCCTCACTCTGTCTGTCTCTCCCTCCCCTCCTCTGCATCCCACCTGTGCTCAGCGGCGACTACACAACCGGAGGACCCTGTCCATGTTCTTTGTGAGTACTGTGCCTGCTCTGGCTGTGTGCCTGTCCCCTGTGTGTCTTTGTGTTTGCCCTGATGTAGGCCTTCAGGGCGTGTAGGGGGGTAGGGGGGAAGGGCCGGGTGGAAGGGGTGAGGAAAGTGAGAGGTGGTAGGATGTGGTGAGGGGAGGAGAAAGTGGTTGCAAAATCTGAGTGCCTTTTGGAGTCAAGCCCCGGCTCTGCCACTGTGTGACCTCGGGCAGACTGCTTCACCTGCGTGCACCTCACTTCGCTCTTCTGCGGTGAGACCCACTGCACAGGGCTGTGCTGTCATTCACGCCAAGTGCTCTGCAGAGTCTGGCCCGAGGCAGGGCTCAGGAAACATGAGTCACTAACACTGGCCCTGCTTTTCCAGCCAATGAAGTCATCGCAGGGGTCTGTGGAGGAGCAGGAGGAAGTGGAGGAGCCCGTGTACGAGGAGCCCGTGTACGAGGAGGTGGGGGCCTTCCCCGAGCTGACCGGGGACACCCTGAGCTCCTTCTCCAGCACACAGGAGTGGGCGGCCACGCCAGACACCCCCCTTACCAGCCAGAGGTCCTTTGATCAACCCCCTGCCTCCAAAGCGAACACCCTGGGCCAGGAGGAGGGGCCGCCTGAGCCCCCTCCGGGCCCCCCTTCAAAGAGCAGTCCCCAGGCCCGGGGGTCTCTGGAGGAGCAGCTGCTCCAGGAGCTCAGCAGCCTCATCCTGAGGAAGGGGGACACCACTGCGTGCCTGGGAAGCCCCCCGCCCCCCAGCCCCACTGGGCCTCCCCCACAGACACCGGGCTTCCCCACACACAGCCCGCATTCTTCCAGCCTGCCCTCCAGCCAGCCCTTCACATGACTGTAGGACGGGCAGTCTGAGGGTGGCTGCCCGGAAGGCCCACACCGTCACCGTGGCAGGCACTGTGGGGAGCCTCCTCAACCCTGTCTGGGAAGATTCCAGAACAAGGTGTGGTGTTGGGCAAGGGCGCTGGACCGGGGGCTCTGGAGGCTGTGCGTCCCTGGGCAAGTCACGGCCCACTCTGGGCCTTAGCTCGTGTTTGTGTATCACGAAGTCACAAATCAGGAGAGCAATGGACATCAAACTGTCTTTCTCAGAGCCTCATTAAGCCTCACTCACATACTCTCCCTCAGTAAGGGCAGCTCCTGCTTTATATACTTGATATGTAGGGGTTCTACTACATTAAAGAAAAAAAAAAGGTTTAGAAGCCAGAGGCCTGGATGAAGTCCAGGGCTATCCTACCCTACTTCCTACGTTATAGGACTTTGCTGAAGTCCTGGCATGGGAGATTGATTGGGGTTGGGAGCTGGGGCAAAGGGGAGCCAAAAAAGGAAGTGTCACTATTAATAAACCTTGGAACCAAAAGGCTACGGTTGTTTTGTTCATTCACTCAACACCAGATGGTTGCCAGGGGTTCCTGCTCTTAGGGATCCTCCACTGTAGAGGGGAAACAGAAACAGATGGACGATGAGCTTGTGCTGCAATGAAACTTAACCAAAGCAGGGCTGGCATTGTGGTGTAGTGAGTGAAGCTACAGCCTCCAATCCTCTTCGTGACCCAGCTGCTCCACTTCTAGTCCAGCTCCCTGCTAATGGCCTGGGAAAAACAGCAGCACATGGCCTGAGTGGGCTTCTGCTACCCTTGTGGGAGACCTGAATGAAGCTCGTGGCTCCTGGCTTCAACCTGGCCTAGCCCTGGCTGTTGTGGTCATCTGGGGAGTGACCCAGCAGATCAAAGATTTCTCTCTCTCTCCCTCTCGCTCTGTAACTCTTTCAAATAAATAAATATTAAACAACAACAAACAACAAAAACTCGAAAGCAGTGGGCTTGAGAAGGAGTTCCATAAAGGTTCTGCAGTGAAGAGAGACTTGCCTGCTGGGGGGTCAGCAAGGAGGCCGGAGCAGCTGGAGCCCAGGCCGAGAGTGGAGAGTGCACGTGAAATGGGAGAGAGCAGCAGGGCCTGGTCATGCACAGCCTTGTAGGTCAAGGATTCGATTTGAATTTCAGGCCTTCAGGATTTTGCTTTTTTTCATGATTGATTTATTTGAAATGTAGAGTTTCAGAGAGAGCGAGAGACAGCTTCCATCTGCTGGTTCACTCCCCAAATGGCCATAACACCTGGAGGTGGGCCAGACCTAAGCCAGGGTGCAGGGGCCCAAGCACTTGGACCATCTTTCAGTGCTTTCCCAGGTGCATCAGCTGGGAGCTGCATTGGAAGTGGAGCAGCCAGGAATTGAACCAGCATCCAGATGGGATGTCAGTGCTGACCTGCTACGTGACAGCACTGGCCCCTTTGGATTTTATTTGGAAGCAACTGAGTTTTAAGTGAGAAAATGCGATCCTATTTCACTTTTTGAAAAAATGATCACCTTGGCTGCTGTGTGCACAGTGGGGTGTGTGTGTGGCGGGGGGGGGGGGGGGGCGAATGTAGGGAGATCAGCCAGCAGATCAGAAGACCAATGCTGAAACATGGTAGGCTTGGAAACTCTGGAGTGGGCAATAGATTTAGAAAACAACCTATGTGACTCGTTGATGCAGGGAAAGTGGGAGTAGGAGGGGGGGCACAGTAACTCGGTTCTGACTTTCCTAAATGGAAGGGGTTGCTTTTGAGCCGCGTGGCGCTGTGGGAACAGGGGTGCCGAGCTTAGGTGAGGGAGGGGATCTCCAGCAAGGCTGCCAGGCCTAACGGTGCAGAACTGAAGGGAAGATCCTAAAGGTGACAGGGCCCTAAGGCCTCACGTGCAGGTCCCCGCTCACGCCCACTCGCGGGCATCGCATAGCTTCCAGTGTACCTGTTTTTCCCTCTGGGCCTGGCTCCTTCCTGGCTCTGAGAGTCTTGCTCACGCTGGCTTTTCCAGTCGAGCGGGAATCGGGAAAAGGTCTGGGACCAGCCCTGCCTTCCTCCGTCGTCAGATGCATCTTCGCTCAGGTGTGCAGTGACTCAGTTTCGCTGGCCACATATGGAGTCCTCACCCTGGACGCAAGGGACTGGTGTTTGCATATGTAAATGACGATTAGAAATAATTACAGGCTGAATCAGTGCCTATACTAGAAATAGAACCCAGGCGTCTTGACTCAGAAGCCCGAGGTTCTCACCGCCCAGCGGACGCAGCGTCCGCCCCGCGGCCGGGACCCTTCCGGGGTATTCGCAGCCGTCGCCGGGGTTCAGTTCCTCTGCGGCCCCCGGAGCTTCCGCGGCCGGCGCAGCAGGACACGGCGTGGGCGGGGCGAAGGCGGAGTCGGGCCCGTCCGGGGCGGGGCTGGGCAGTGGGCGGGGCTTCCTCGAGTTCCGGAGTCGAGTCGCTGGCCGCCTTGGCTGGAGCGAAGATGCAGCCGCCGCCCCGAAAAGTGAGCCTGGCCCCAGAATGGGGACTGCTGGCGGGCTGTGGGGTGGGTGGTGCGAAGGGAGCCTGGCGGGCCCTGGAGCCGGGCTGCGAGGCGGAGTGGGAAGGGGTCGGAACCCAACCCAGGAGTAACCGAGGAAACAGCTCAGCTCCTGCTGGGCCCCGCCCCCTCACCGCTCCCTACGCCGAGTGTTTTTCACGTCTCCACACCGGGGTCTTCGTCCTCCGCTTAACCCCGCAGGTGAAGCCGGCCCAGGAGGTGAAGCTTCGCTTTCTGGAACAGCTGAGCATCCTCCAGAGCCGGCAGCAGAGGGAGGCGGACCTGCTGGAGGACATCAGGTAGCTTCTGGCCCCGTGGTGTACCCACCCCCATCCTGGCCGCTTCTCCCATAACATACATCTGCTGGGGTGGGAGGACAGGGGCGGGAATTCCACCCTCCCTGTTCGCGGCCCTGGCCTTAGTCCTGCCTCTGCGAGTCCCGCTCCACCTCCCCCCACCCCACCCCCACATAAACACACAGGGACCCTCTCTTAAACCCCTGACTCCACAGCCCTGCAGTCAAACTTAGGGCAGCATCCCTCTCCCCCTCCCAGACCTGTTGGAAGGCTGGCGACCCTGTGCCCAGGCCCCATCAGCCCTCAGCTGCAAGCCCACAAATGGCCCTCCAGGGGTAGGGAGGCTCCAGCTGGGGCTCTGAGCCGTGAGGTGAGGCTGACCCGTGTTGCTGCTGCCTGAGGTGATCTCAAGGACTCCGTCTTCAGCCCCGTTCCCTCTGGGTGAAATCACACTCTGGGCCTGGCTCCCTCTTCCCCCTGCCCAGGTGGAGGAAAGGATGGAGAAGGGGGCCACACAGTAACCCCACCCCCACCCCAATCTCCACAGATCCTACAGCAAGCAGCGGGCAGCCATTGAACGAGAGTATGGGCAGGTATGGGACGCCTTCCTCTGGACCTCCCCTCTTGTAGCCCCCTTTACAGCCCCAGCAGTGTCTTTCCACATATACGCCCATAGCGGTCGAGAGCAAATGCCTACAGTCAGGCAGCCTTGGGTCAGATTCCTCTTGTTCTACCTAGCTGGATGTCCTTGGACAAGTTACTTAACCTTTCTTGGCCTCAGTTTCTTTCTCTGTAAAATGGGAATAATCGTTGTACCTTCATGTCGAGTTGTTGTAAGGACTAAGTTAGTTGGTGAATGTAAGGCATTCAGCAAAGCACGTGGTGCATGATGGACATCTGGTGAGTGGTACTATCACGCTCTGATCCCATATTCTTCCACTGGGGTGAGTAAAGGGAACAGGGTGTCCGTTGGCTCTCTCTCCAGGCACTCCAGAAACTGGCTGGGCCATTCCTGAAGAGGGAAGGGCACCGGAGCGGGGAGACAGACAGCAGGTGGGTCCCATGCAGAATGTGATGGGGAGCTCGGTCCCAGGGCCCTGTGGGGATGGAGGCCTGGGGAGCGGGGGAGCACGAGAGCTGCAGGTGGAGCTGACACAGCAGCAGGAGAGGAGCTGACCGCGCAAGGACACCGTGGGTGGGGGTGGAGGGCATGAGTGATCCTTGTGGCTGAGCTAATGGGCAGATCGATAGATGGGCTCCCAGACGAGGGGGAGGGGAAGGCTCGCTGTCTCCCATGGTGTTGGAGGGGGGTGGGCTCACGAAGCGGTGGAGTGCTCTCCTCCTCAACACAGACCTTCTCTGGGGAGGGGCAGGACAGTGTTCGGTGCCTGGCGTTGCCTGCTCGATGCCACCGTGGCTGGGGGTCAAACCCGGCTCCAGGCGGCCGACCGATACCGTGACCTAGCAGGGGGCGCAGGGCGGAGTGCCAAGGAGCAGGTGCTTAGGAAGGTATGGCTCAGTGGGTGGGGTGAGGAAGAGCTGGCTTGGGGCTGGAGGTGGTGGGGTTCAGGACGTTGTGTGTCCCTGCTGCTAGGGAACAGAGACCCTCCAGAGGGCACAGGCGGAGGTGCTGCAGTCTGTCCGGGAGCTGAGCCGAAGTCGGAAGCTGTATGGGCAGCGGGAGCGTGTGTGGGCCTTGGCACAGGAGAAGGCAGCTGATGTCCAGGCCAGGTGGGCTCCAGGGGAGTCAGGAAGCCCCCAGTGGGGAAATGTGGACGAGTGGGGGTGGAGCCGAGGCACCAAGGCTGGGCTCCGTCTAGCTTGTTTCCCTTGCCCACATAGGCTGAACCGAAGTGACCACGGCATCTTTCACTCTCGGACCAGTCTCCAGAAACTCAGTACCAAGGTTCGGCAGTGAGGGCGTGCGTGGCGGCAGGGAAGAGGTGGGGCGAGCAGTCCGGTGGTTTGGGAGAAGTAGATTGAATCCAGGCTGCCCTCCTTCCTAGGTGGGTGACCTTGGTCAACTTAATGACCTCTGAGCCTCATTTTTTCATCTGTAAGGTGGAAATAATAACTTCCCTTTTCATTCCTTTAATATTCATCTGTTGAGGGCCTGTATGTGCTAGGCAGTGTTCTGAAGACTGGTTGAATCAGCACAGAACACTTCTCATGCAGTTCTTGCCCTCACCATCTAGCTAAGGGACACAGCGAGTAAATACACAAATAATCAGATTAGGAGGAAAATAAAATCAGGTGCCATGATGAAGGGTGACAGAGGGGTGTGAGTTAGAGGGAAGAGTGCATTGCCTTTGAGGTGGGAGTAACGTTGTAGGCTCGGTGTGGCCTACAGGCACTTGAAAGGAGGTCAGGAGGATGCAGGGGTCAGCTCGCGTTGGACCTGGGAGACCACAGCAGGGAACAGTTGGCATTTTATTTCGGATGTGCACAGAAGCCACTAGAGGGTTCTGAGCAGGAGTTGTGAAATTGGGAAGCCAGCCGTCAATAATATGCAAATCCACTTTGGGTCTGGGCTCTGGGAAGGACCCTGGGCATCCATGGCTTCTTGTTGACACCTGTTTCCCCCTGCTAGCTGTCTGCCCAGTCGGCCCAGTATTCCCAGCAGCTGAGAGCAGCCCGCAATGAGTACCTGCTCAACTTGGTGGCCACCAATGCCCACCTTGACCACTACTACCGAGAGGAACTGCCAGCCCTGCTCAAGGCCAGTCCTAACCCAGAGTCCCCCTGCCCCTCAGCGGGGAGGGAGGGATGGGCCTGTCTTGCTTCCCACTCCCTGTGAGGTCGACAGGTGCTGGGGACCTAGCCTGCCTCTGTGAGTAGAAGCTACACTCTTGGGTTCTGAATCTGCGTCCAGCTGGCTGCATGACCCTGTCTGGGACACTACCCTTCTGAATCCCATCGGGGAATATCTTGGTTCTGCCGACCTTAGAGCACTGATGGGGCTCAAAGGGTGTGAGGGTGTGTTTTGAACTGTTAAGCCATGTGTGCACAAGGGCCTGTTATTAGAAGCAGTAATAATGCCTGGTTCTTGCCTCCTTCTCATACCTCATGCCCATCCCCCACCCACACCTGGACAGACAGGCTGCTCTCGAGGCCTGAGGGGAGGCTGGTGTCAGTATCTCTGGGTTGTCTGCAGGCCCTGGTCAGCGAGCTGTCGGAGCACTTGCGGGACCCCCTGACCTGTTTGAGCCGCACCGAACTGGAAGCTGCAGAGATGGTCCTGGAGCAAGCGCGCCATGGGGGGCAGGCAGCCAGCCAGGTGAGGGCTGGGACCCGTCAGAGCGCCCCCCAGAGATTCCCCCCAACTACGCATCTGCTTCTGTCCTCTTTCTTCTGAGACGAGACGTGCTAGGGACAGGGCCAGAAAGGAAGTGAATAATGAGTGACTGGCTTTTCCCACCTGGCAGGTAAACTGGGAGCAGGATCTGAAGGTGTTTCTTCAGGAACCTGGGGTGTTTGCCCCCACCCCCGCTCAGCAGTTTCAGCCAGCAGGCACTGATCAGGTGAGACCGCGCGCTGCTCTTGGAACCAGGCCCAGTGTAAACAGGACTGTGGTTTTGGCCTCCTGCCCCATTATCTTTGTCATGGTATTAACTGGGTGACTGTTGGACCTCAGGGAGGGGGTTTCGGAGCTCTGGTCCGCCTCCTTCCTACCAGAATACATAAAACACACCTCAGTCCACTTTTTAGCCACCCAGTGCTTTGCCCTCTTCAGCCCACCCATGGCCCTTCAACCCCATCCCATTGCTGGGAGACATCTGGCCACACAATGTATACCTCTGTTACAGAAGGGGCAGTGCCCCCGCCTCTCTGTCCTTGTCTTTGGGAGGCAAGGCAGGTGGAAAAGAGGGAACTGGAGAGAAGGAACTACCTCGGGTCCCTCTCACAGCACCTCTGCGCCTGCAGGTGTGTGTCCTGGAGGGGGAAGCAGGAGAGGTGGCTGGGGAGAGCAGCTTGGAGAAGGAGATTCAGCGCTGGACCAGCAGGGCTGCCCGTGATTACAAGATCCAGAACCATGGGCGTCGGGTGAGGTGGGGGTGCAGGTGTTGTGGATGGGAAGGAGGGCTGAGAGGCGGGGATCCTGGAGTTACTGAGGGTGTCGCAGGGCTGCCGACAGGAGGGGAAGAGAGGCCTTTTAAGACAAGAGTATGACACAGTGGTTAAGAGCACCTGGATTCACCTCCTCTTCTGTCTCTCCTGAGTTCTGTAACACAGGTGAGGGAGTGACTTAACCTCTCTGGACTTCAGTTTCCTCAT